TGCCTACATTCTGTATTTGTCTGTCTGTTTATTGTGTCATTTAACAATACATATTCCTTTATCCCCTGCATTTCCTGTAAACTTCTTAACATTGAAGAACCCAATGCTTGGCTGTTTTCTCTTTTCCATCTATATATTCACTCCCTTGATTTTTTTCAAAGACTTTCATAGCTTTAAATACCATCTACCTGGTGACAACTCTCAAATATTTAGCTCTGTGGCCTGTCTCCTGATTCTAGGCTTATATATCCAACTGTCTACTCAATATCTCCACTTGAATATCTTGAAGTTATCTCAATCTTAAAATGATAAACAAATTCAGTAAAGCTGCAACCAAACCAGAATGGGACTGGCATAAAAACAGACACATAGACCAATGGAACAGAATAAAGAACACCAAAATAAATCCATACACCTACAGTGAACTCATTTTCAACAAAGGTGCCAAGAACATACGCTAGGGAAAGCAGAGTCTCTTCAATAAAGAGTGCTGGGAAAACTTGATATCCATATGCAGAAGAATGAAACTAGAACCCTATCTCTCGACATAGACAAAAATCAAACCAAAATGGATTGAAGACTTCAATCTAAGACCTCAAATTATGAAACCACCACAAGAAAACACTGGGGAAACTCTCCAGGACATTGGTATGGGCAAAGGTTTCTTAAGTAATACTCCACAAGCACAGGCAACCAAAGCAAATGGACAAATGGGATCACATCAATTTAAAAAGCTTCTGCACAGCAAACAATCAACAAAGTGAGGAGACAAATCCACAGAATGAGAGAAAATATTTGCAAACTATTCATCTCACAAGGGATTAATAGCCAGAATATAAAAGGAGTTTAAACAACTCTATAGGAAAAAAATCTAATAATTCAATTACAACATGGACAGAAGATCTCAACAGACATTTCTCAAAAGAAGGCACACAAAGAACAAATAGGTATATGAAAAGGTGCTCAACATCACTGATCATCAGACTTAGGCAAATCAAAAGTACAATGAGGTGTCATCTCAGCCCACTTAAAATGGCTTTTATCCAAAAGACAGGCAACAATGAATGCTGGCAAGGAAACCCTCATACCCTGTTGGTGGGAATGTAAATTAGTACAACCACTATGAAGAACAGTTTGGAGGTTTCTCCAAAACTAAAAGTAGAACTACCATGTGATCCAGCAATCTCACTCCTAGGCGTATACCCAAATGAAAGAAAATCAGGATACTGAAGACATATCTGCACTCCCATGTTTTTGTAACACTATTCCCAATAGCCAAAATTTAGAAGGAATTTAAGTGTCCATCAACAGAGGAATGGGTAAATAAAATGTGGTACTTATACACAACAGAGTACTATTGAGCCATACAAAAGAATGAGATTCTGTCATCTGCAACATCATGGATGGAATTGGAGGACATTAAGTGAAATAAGCCAGACACAGAAAGACAAACTTCACATGTTCTCAGTTATCTGCAGGATCTAAAAATTAAAACAACTGAACTCATGGAGATAAGAGACTAGAATGATGGTTACCAGAGGCTGGGAAGAGCGGTAGCAGGGAGAGGGGCAAGTGGGGATGGTTAATGACTACAAGAAAATAGAACGAATAAGATATATATTTGATAACACAACTGGGTGACTACAGTCAATAATAATTTAATTGTACATTTAAAAATAACTAAAACAGGATAACTGAATTGTTTGTAATGAAAACGATAAATGCTTGAGGTGATGGATACCCAATTTACCCTGATGTGATTATTATGCACTGTAGGCCTATACCAAAATATCTCACATACCCTATAAATATACAAACCTACTATGTACCCACAAAAAGTAAAAAATAAAACAGAAGTATTTCAGCAGCAAGGTGTGAGTGAAGTAGGTAAGAAAAGTAGTAATTTTTTTTTTTTTTTTGGAGACAGGGTCTCGCTCTATTGTCCGGGCTGGAGTGCAGTGGAGCAATCTCAGCTCACTGTAATCCCCGCCTCCCTGGTTCAAGTGATTCCTGTGCCTCAGCCTCCCAAGTAGCTGGGATTACAGGCATGTGCCACCACGCCTGGCTAATTTTTGTATTTTTAGTAGAGAGGAGGTTCTGCCATGTTCATGTTGCCCAGGCCAGTCTCAAACTTCTGGTCTCAAGTGATCTCCCCTCCATGGCCTCTCAAAGTGCTGGGATTACAGACATGAGCCACCATACCCAGCCAAAAAATAGTAATTTTTAAATGACCACATAAAACTTCTGCAACATTTATACCATATACTCAACCATCCCTTAACAGTCACTTAATGTTTTGTCTTTCAGGAAAAAGAACTTTTGGTTAGGCGCAGTGGCTCACACCTGTAATCCTAGCAGTTTTGGAGGCTGAGGTGGGTGGATAACTTGACCTCAGGAGTTTAAGACCAGCCTGGCCAATATGGTGAAACCCCATCTCTATTAAAAATAAAAATAAAAAAAATTAGCCGGGCACGGTGGCATGCGCCTGGAATCCCAGCTACTTGGGAGGCTGAGGCAGGAGAACTCCTTGAACCCAGGAGGCGGAGGTTGCAGTGAGCTGAGATCGCACCACTGCCTGCACTCCAGCCTGGGCAACAGAGCAAGACTCTGTCTCAAAAAAAAAAAAAAAAGAAAAAGAAAAGAAAAAGAAAAAAGAACCTTTTAAATGATTACCTCGAAGTTCAGAAGAAATCCTTATTGACATTTTTAACAATTGCCGTAATTCTTTTATACAGCATCCAGTTTATTACCATGACTACATTCTTGGCTGTGATCCCCACAGTCACATTTCTGAAAATATCTCATATGAAATGACAAATGTACTATATGGTGAAGTTCTGAAACCTCTTTCCAAGCATCAGCATCATGTGACCCAGCAGACTAGTTTCCTTTAATATTAAATTAACATACAAACCTACACATCTACTATCTTGTTTCTGTTCAACAAAGCAGGTGATTTTCAAGGTATTTGTATACAGATGCTCTAATCCTACACTATACATAGGAGAAATAAATCTTTCTTCTGTGAATCCTTTCCCCCCTCCACAAACATCCCCCAGTCCCTAATTTATATAACATAATAAACAATGTCAATACAGTCTAACAATTAAGAATATAGTTTTGGAGTCCAGCTTGAAAGTGAACCCCAACTCACCCACAATCTAGCTGTAGATTGCCATGGACAAGTTTCATGTACACAAATTCCCTAAGCTTGACAGAGGTTATTGTGAGGATTAACTGAAATCCATGGGAATCAATCAGCTTACTACAGGACACTAGATAAATTCTCACTAAACATTAGCTATTGTTATTGCAATATCTTAAAGAGAACTCTAGAATAACCATTAAACCTTTACAGTCCATTTATGTACTACGTCTCATCCAGTCTTTAATCTTTCCTCATCTTTATATAAATGAAAGTTCCGTGGCTGAGCACGGTGGCTCACACCTGTAATCCCAGCATGATGGGAGGCTGAGGCGGGCAGATCACTAGGTCAGGAGTTCGAGACAAGCCTGGCCTATATGGTGAAACTCCATCTCTACTAAAAATACAAAAATTAGCCAGGCGTGGTGACGGGTGCCTGTAATCCCAGCTACTCGGGAGGCTGAGGCAGGAGAATCGCTTGAACCCGGGAGACGGAGGTTGCAGTGAGCCAACATCGTGCCACTGCACTACAGCCTGGACAACAGAGTGAGACTCCATCTCAAAAAATAAATAAATAAATAAAAGCTCTTACCTTTTTATACTTGTAAGTATCATAGTTAAGTGTGAATTCTGTGTCAAAACTATCTGAAATACTATTTTTCTTTTTTTTTTTTGAGACCGTTTCGCTCTTGTTGCCCAGGCTAGAGTGCAATGGCGCAATCTCGGCTCAGTGCCACCTCCACCTCCCAGGTTCAAGTGATTCTCCTGCCTCAGTCTCCCGAGTAGCTGGGATTACAGGCATGTGCCACGATACCTGGCTAATTTTGTATTTTTTAGTAGAAATGGGGTTTCTCCATGTTGGTCAGGCTGGTCTCGAACTCCTGAGCTCAGGCAATCCACCCGTCTCAGCCTCCCAAAGTGCTGGGAATATGGGCGTGAGCCACCGCGCCCAGCCTGAAATACTACTCTTATTAGCTACATGATCTTGGAGCATGTTACTTCCCCTCTCTCTATGCTTCACTGGTAAAATAGGCATAATATATCACACAGATAACAATTATGTAAATGGAATGAAATGATAAATATAAACAATAATATAATATGTTTAGAACAATTTTCCTACCCAGTAATAGCAATTTATTATTATTATTACTATTATTATTCCCCTATGCAAACTTCTTCAAAGTGGTATACAGTGGTAACTGTACCTGCCTCTAATACTGTACAATTTCTAAATCTTCTCTCTTCCTCCCTCAAGCTTTTCCAGATTGATCAGAAGAGCTGCAAATAACTCCTAACTCCACTCTATCTGAACTTAGAACTCACATAAGAACTTTTAGTTCTGTCCAGCCTGATTATACATTCTTTGTTTCATGTTTACATATCATCTTCAAAAAAGAAAAAACAAAATGACACATTCCTTGATTTTTATATCATACTAACACAACTATTTATGAAGATGCCAAGTATTAAACAGATCTTTATTAGTCTGTCTTAGCCGTGTTTTTTACTATACATTTTAAGTTTACAGAAAATGGATGTTCCAAACTACACAGCACCTGCACAGGACCAACACATAGGGCCTATCACTATTGAAATCAACTAAAACTGGGCTTACTGGACTATGAATGTATTTATTAGCTAAAAATATAAAATCTATTAAGCTTCTAATAATTCACTGTCATGTAAGAAATTTTATAAACTATACATTCTGGACAACTTGACAGCACTAGAAATGACAAATATAGCTTCTGACCAAATCTGTAGCATTCACTTATATATATTCATATTCACATATATATATACACACACACATATATATAAATGAACAAACACAATTTAAAGTTTTACTTACTCAAATTCTGTAGCATAATATTTAAGAAAGCCCAGTAAGAGGTCCCCAAGGTTTGATTCATTCTTTGAGAGGTAAGGAGGAACATTACATGGAGCTTGATGTACAAGGTGCAGCTGTATAGCAGGACTAAAAGATTCCTGTCAAAAAGAAGGGGAAAAAATGTAAAGCCATTTAAAACAGACACTAAGAAACTTTATAAATCCTGAACTAGACTCCTCTTTGAAAAAGAGAGAAGAAATTTTCTCTACATTGGCAACTTGGAAACCTAAAATTTTTCTTCCACTAAAGACTTCACCAGTATTTGCAGTAGGCCAGAATGTACCTGAAAAATTAACAATCTAATCCTTGGCTTGAGTACAGCACTCAGTTAACCAAACAGATTGCTATTTAGCAAAAGATTTTCTAACTCATAAATAAAGCCTTACTATGCATACCAAGATTCTACCCAATACCATATAGATTTCTTCATAAAGGTTATCTCATTCTTAATAATTCCTACAAGAAGCAGTATATGTATAAAGGCTATATCAAGCACAAAGTAAGAGTTTTTTCTGTCACTTCAAACTTCTCTCAAAGACCATAAGAGTACCCTTAATATAGAAATACTACTTATACTAATTTTAAGATTTTATAAATTTTGCTTTGTTTCTGTATCTTAGATGGAAGAGGAGATGTTCAACCTGAATTAAGCTTGAAAAGACAAAGAAGGCAGGGAAAATAAGACAGGAAGCATACCAACAAGCAATATTCAGCAAGCTTTTACCATAATATTTATAGAAGAGGATATCCTTTGCCTGAAATCCAGGAACAAAGACACCTATTAGAAAGAATACTAATGGGTACTTATCCTGTTTTCCTATGTTATGCCATTCATTTTCATATTCATCTTTCCTCTATTAACAGCAAGTTCTGGCTCTCAAATATACCAAATGTATTATATAAATTATCAAGTCATTTATATACATCAATTAGAAAATAATACAAGATAATTTGCACAGTGCCATCAGGGATGGTTTTCTGTATTTCTCCACTGCTGTCAGAACAGAAATGTTAAATTAGTTAAGGCAGCAGAATGACAACTACAGTTAAGATTCCAAACTACCTATTTAACCCTGGGCTTATAGATACTAATGTAATTAAAGACATCTAGATAATGCCAAGTAAAAAAATGGAGAATCTCCGGATGGGTGCAGTGGCTCACGCCTGTAATCCCAGCACTTTGGGAGGCCGAGGCGGGCAGATCACGAGGTCAGGAGATCGAGATCATCCTGGCTAACACAGCGAAATCCCATCTCTACTAAAAATACAAAACATTAGCCAGGCATGGTGGCAGGTGCCTGTAGTTCCAGCTCCTTAGGAGGCTGAGACAGGAGAATGGCGTGAACCTGGGACGCAGAGCTTGCAGTGAGCTGAGATCGCGCCACTGCACCCCAGCCTGGGAAACAGAGTGAGACAAAAAAAAAAAAAAAGGAGAATCTCTGAACAATGGTAGTAGAGAAATAGCACAGTGCATCATTTAATGCTAGTGCCCCCAAAATATAAATAAAAACAAAGGAGCAAGAAAACAAAAATACCTCCTCCCTTGTTCCATTACCTATAATTCTATCAATAACTGTTAACTACCAAGAAGTGATTACCTTTCTCTTGGAATAAAAATTCTATTCCAACCAAATTCATAAAGTTGATACTCCTCAACATGGGACTTTCCCCTTACATTCTAACAGCTGTAGTATTAATTACATTTTAAAATACAAGTAGAAATTTTAAAAAGAGGAGGGTGTAGGAAAGAAACCTCAATTAGTAAAGACTAAAGGCAGAAGGAAGCACAGATACAGTGCCTCTATTCCCCTTTAACTCTTACTCGTTAGGTATAAAATTGAACTTAGGGCAACAATATTTAAAATTATAAAATTTAAATGTCATTTTCTGGCAAATCAAACAAAAGGTATAATGTAGATCAAGTAAGTACATCACTGTTTAATAGCTCCTGCTCTGAAAGCTTCTTACTAATTTTGATTCCTAGCACCAAGCACAATTAGCATTCAATCTGTGAACTGAATATGCTAAAACAGAAGTCACTTTCTTATCTGAAGTTTAAAAAATGATTGTACCTCCTGTAAAATTTTTATTTTGTTCAATAATTTAAAGAAAAAGGTCAGCAATTACGACATTAAGAACTGAAGAGTCATGAGATCCACTCCATTAAAATGCTAAATGACCTCAGACCAACAATTTGGCCAGTCTCCTCTTAGCTCCACTGTTCTTTTTCATGGTCATACACAAAAAGAGTCAGGTCATGCTTATTGAGGGAGAACTGAAGCAGAAATCCAAACCAAAACTAAAAAAGATAAGGACACCTAAAAACAGCTACCAGTAAATAGTAATTCTATCTATCCTTAAGAAATCCCCTAAGCCAGGCATGGTGGCTCAAGCCTGTAATCCCAGCACTTTGGGAGGCTAAGGCAGAAGGATCAATCTTTGGACAATTAAGCACTTTCTGAAATAAGTTAGACTGGCTAATCTTCTATAAGGAAACTGTTCTTTCTTTAAAATCTTAAGTGAAAGATGATCACTTTCCATCTCCAAGAAAACAAAGAAATTTAGGTGATTATCAAATAAAACAAATTAAGTATAATTTCACAGCAATATGAATTATGAAATCCCTGAGCCCAGGAGTTTAAGACCAGCTTAGGCAACTTAGTGACACTCTATCTCTAAAAAAAATAGAAAGATCAGCTGGGTATGGTGATGCATTGCTGTCATCCCAGGTACTCAGGAGGCTGAGGCATGAGAAGTGACTGAGCCTCGAGGGCTCATCATTGCACCACTGCACTCCAGCTTGGGCAAGACTTTATCTCAAAAAAAAAAAAAAGAAAAAGAAAAAGAAAACCCCAGTTTTTAGTGACCATTCACATTACAGAAAGATTCTTTGCTTTAAAATGTCAACAAAGAATTTTTTTAAGGCCAGACGCAGTGGCTCATGCATGTAATCCCAGCACTTTGGGAGGCCGAGGTGAGCGGATCCCTTGAGGTCAGAAGTTAGAGACCAGCCTGGCCAGCATGGTGAAACCGGGTCTCTACTAAAAATACAAAAACTAGCTGGACATGGTGGTGGATGCCTGTAATCCCAGCTACTCAGGAGGCTGAGGCAAGACAATCGCTTGAACCCGGGAGGTGGAGGTTGCAGTAAGCCAAATCCACGCCACTGTACTCCAGCCCAGCCTGGGTAACAGAGCAAGACTCCATCTCAAAAAAAAAGAAACGAAAACACAAAAGATTTATTTAAAAGGGAGCTTCCCCACTGTAGTTATGTATTTAAGAGCTCAAGCCTGTAATCCCAGCACTTTGGGAGGCCGAGATGGGCGGATCACGAGGTCAGGAGATCGAGACCATCCTGGCTAACACGGTGAAACCCCGTCTCTACTAAAAAATACAAAAAACTAGCCGGGCGAGGTGGCGGGCGCCTGTAGTCCCAGCTACTCGGGAGGCTGAGGCAGGAGAATGGCGGGAACCCGGGAGGCGGAGTTTGCAGTGAGCTGAGATCCAGCCACTGCACTCCAGCCTGGGCGACAGAGCGAGACTCCGTCTCAAAAAAAAAAAAAAGAAAAAAAAAGAAAAATACACGCTACTTCAGATAGGACAAAGGGGTTCAGAACTTAAACTAGTATTTTAGAAAGTACATAAAGAGCAACCAAAAAGTCAAAGAGAAAGAAAGCAGCCTTAAAATTACAAAGTAAGTCCACAGAATAGCAATTAAACTGATAAACATCCATCTCTTTAATAAATACATTTTTGGGTTACAAATTTTTACTGTTGCTTGTGTGACTATATAGAGGGAAGATTTATTATATTTTTTAGATTATTTTGGGCTTCTGATAATCAAATGTATAACGTATTAACTCCTGAAAACATTTCCAAATGATTTTTAAAAGTTGATCCTTTAGAAGACACGTAATCTTTCATTTCAAGTTAAAAAAAATTAAATAGAAAACCCCTTGAAAAACATCTGAGAAATCTCACCGCTTCTGCTCATCAAACTGTCTTTAATAATGGCAAAAATACCTTTTGCCAGATTCCATCATTTTCTCTGAGACTGTCCCACAATATCTTATGTTACCTTCAATGTCTGAAATTTGGACAATTAAGTGCTTTCCAGAATAAGTTAGAATAAGTTAGACTGGCTAACCTTCTATTTGAAAACTGTTCTTTAAATGATGAAAGGCTTAAGTCAAAGATGATCACTTTCCATCTCCAGGTAAATAGAAATTTAAGTTATTAAAAGAAATTAAGCATAATGTCCTAACAATATGAATTATGAGACCCTAGAAATATATGTTAAGGAAGGTTACAAGGAAAAGAAAAACTGATAGGGAATAGTTCTGCCTGAAAAGAACAACACCTAAGTGATAACTTAAAGTTTCTGCAAAGCTATCTGAATTGCACGCAGGTAAGTCATCATTAATCTGGTGATGTATATTAAAGATTGATCATAAAATTTCCTTTAATTATATCTGACTTCAGATTTAAAAGTTGTGAAATCAACGTAAGTAACATAAAGTAGAGGTACTATAATGAAGAGATTAAAAGCATTAACTTTGAAGTCAGACTGAAGTGTGAAGCATCACCCTTCTACTAGCTGCAAGCATTTAAACAAGTTACCTAGCTTTCCTCAGCTTCGTCATTTATAATACAAGAAAAGGAAAAATACTCAGATGGTTGTTGTAAGGATTTATTAACTGTTTAGTATATGCCACATATCATTATTATTGCACATTTATACAATGCAGTGTGGTTACCTTCTGAAATTTTTCATGTATTATTTCCAAATTAACTTTCCTATGTTTTCAAAATTCAAGTAGTGCCAACTTTAAAACAATGTTTTGTAACCATTTTTTTAAAAAAAATCTACACCAAAACTTTTCAATCTTTTTTTTTTGAGACAGAGTCTCACTCTGTTGCCCAGGCTGGAGTGCAGTGACGTGATCTCAGCTTACTGCAGTCTCTGCCTCCCGGGTTCAAGCGATTCTTCTGCCTCAGCCTCTTGAGTAGCTGGGACTACAGGGGTGTGCCACCACACCCGGCTAATTTTTGTATTTTTATTAGAGATGGGGTTTGACCATGTTGGCCAGGATGGTCT